ATGTTAATGTACATAGACACCACATAAAAACTTACGAGCAAATCTCCTCTTTCTATCGTCTGATCATCAATTAACTTAATAAAGTCGTATGATTTCTTGACTACAAACTTCCAAGTTTCAGATATCGCAATGTTTTATGCATCACGCTATCTCTGTTATCTACAATAATCTAAAGTGGAGTACCTTGCTTATAGATTTTGGGCAGGCCATACGCATTTGGGGCTGTAGCATCTCGCTGGAGAAGTGCATTCATTTTCCACTTTTCCAGTTCTCCACTGTTTAGACATTGTTGCAGAAGACCCTTAAGTCTGACCTTAAGGTCCTCTGTTGGGTCACTAATTCTAGTCTTATATGTTGTATCATCATCTAATGCCTCTAAACATTTCTCTACATAATCATTCTGAACCGTGACTACTACTGCTTCTCGTTTGTCTGCCCTTAATACCTGTTGCTCGTTCTCCTTAAGCTTTCTTATAATGGTATTAACTGTCCTAATCTCATTTGATGTTTCTACATGACCATCAAGTAAAGGGGCCATTAGTAATTCAATGTCACTCCACGTATCCTATAGGAAACTATCTGTGAAATTGCTTAATTCAAGATACATAGAGAAACTGGGTTTTGATAAATCTCCTAGGATAACATTGTTGGAAGGAGTTTCATTCCGTATAAAAGTGCATGAACAAGCTCAGCCCGTTTTCACCCGAAACGAGGACGGGGGTCTCGTGGACTCTGTCAACCTAAACGTCGTATAAAAGTCAAACGGCGACAGTAAAGCGAGATTCAGCCGTCTTCTTCTGGTGATATCGACATACCAATCTCTTATTCATGCACTTTCATACGAAAAGAAAGTCCCCCATCAATTTTATTTCACGAGATTAATAGAATCCCAGTTTCTCTTCGTATCTACAATGTACGTAAGGTTCGATTTCTTGTCATTTGTCTTCTCACTACACTATAACCAAGAAAACTATATCCCGGCAAGTTAAAAGAATTAGATTTTGTTCTTAATTGTTGTAAACTCGGTAGACGTATTAATCTGTCGAGGTCTACAAAATAGGAAAAATTATCAGGTATCGTGTTGTTTGGTTTAAAATAGGCTAGAAGGAAAGCATTAACAGATTACACGAACTAAATAAAACCAAAATTAGGCCCTTTCGGAAATATTTAAGTATGTGGATTTCGTTAAATTACAAGGCATGACTGACGGTTTAGGAGAGGCGAAGGACAGAATGACTTGGCGGATACATGATAAGAAGCTCCGGAAATTAGGAATTATAAATAGGTGGTGCCTAAGATAAAACAGTAATCATGATTGTAGCAAACTGAGGCAGGATAAGGAAATAAATTTATACAGTATAACTCAGGAGGATAGGGTAGCACTTATATTGGAAAGAGAATTGACTTAAAACTAGGCTAAAGGATGTCCTTAAGGTATGCTTAAGTAATGGTGAAATGAAGAAGTGGAAAATGAAGTCATTATCCAGGGAGATGCAAGGGCCCACACGGCTTACGGTCTCCCTAAGGTTTACAAGGAGGGTGTCCCTCTAAGATTAATTGTAAATGATAGAGAAAGCGTGATGCATAACATATCACGGTTTTATGCATACAACTAAGGAACTCTTCTAATTTTGGGCTATATTCAGTTACAAATTCTTATGATTTTGTGACATTGCTAGCTCAACAGACAATTTCAGACAATTCGTAAGTTTTGACGTCGTGTACATGTACACAAACATTTCTGTCCAAGGAGCTATTCAAGCTCTAATACAAACTCTGGAGGAACATCCAGAGATAACACAAGGAATAAGACTGAGTGTATCCTCCATTATTAGACTTATTAACCTATCCATGAGTACTACATATTTTACATTCGATGGTAAGTTATACGACCAAACACAAAGATTAGCGATGGGATCTTATCTGGCTCCCATCTTGGCAAGCAATTATATGGCAAGACTGGAGGAACACTTCCTGCAAGAGGCAATACTAAGGGCCGAATTGTGGATTAGATACATGGATGACTATTTTGTCATCTGGCCTCATGGTCAGGACAGTTTAGATAGTTCCCTACTTTCACTCATCCAGTGTGGAAGGAACATTAGGTTCACGATGGAAATGGAAGAGAAAAAAGTCCTAACCTTTTCTGGATGTTCTCATTAGTAGAGAAAATGGTAAGTTAAGAAGAGATGTTTATAGGAAGCCAAAATATGTTGGCTCTTTGCTTAATTTTCTTTCCAACCATAGTTACAAAACTAAGGTGGGAATTTAAAGTCAATGATTATTAGAAGTATGAGACTAAAGGATTGCAAACATTTGACTAAAGAGTTGCAACGTATGATAAATTTATTCCTGGAAAATAATTATCCTTTGGGCCTTATTGAGAATAATATCACTACTAAGAAATAAATTTTCAGACGGAGATCATTTAGTCAAAGATAGACAGACTGAGACCTTTTCCCATGTCCTAATTTTGTCGTCATTCCTTCTCTTGAAAAGGATATGCGAATTAGTAAAGAAGTGGGGCATAAAAACAGTGTTCAAAGAAACCCTTACACTTTTTTCTGGTATGCCATCTTTTACAGATAAATATGACCCATTATCGAGATCCGGCTACTACAAGATTGTTTGCTTATGTGGTCCATGTTATGTTGATGAGAGATGCCGACCAATTCGACAAAGATTGAAAGAACACATAAATGTTTGTAAAGGAAACTGTATCCAACAGTTAGAAGTGGCCTAACGTGTGGTAGGAACTGGATATGGTATCAAATTGTATGAAACTAGTAAGTTTGCTGATTATGGTACGTCTGTGGTTAAAAGAAAGATAAGACAGGCTAATGAAATTAATAGCTTAGGAAATAAGTTGAATGTGAGGAACGTTGTTAGAAAGTTGAGTAGGAACTAGTTATGCTTGTAGATACTAAGAGAAAGTTGGTTTCGATGAATCTCATTAGATAACGTAGTTAGGGGGACCTTCATTTCGAATAAAACTGAATGAAGAAGAGAATTGTTGATCGTTCTCACCAGATGAGGACGGATGAATCTTGTTGTACTGCAGCCGTTTGGCTTTTATACGATAGTCATATTGACGCAGTCCACAAGACTTTCTCCCTCGTTTCGGGTGAAAACGTATTAAGCTTTCGTCCATCATATGATGGACATCATCAGAGTTGGGTGTCATTCTTGTAAAAGGCTTTCGTTAACTCTAAAGCAAAAG